GAGAGAGAGAGAGAGACAGAGAGAGAGACAGAGAGAGAGACAGAGACAGAGACAGAGACAGAGACAGACAGAGACAGAGATAGAGAGAAGGACAGAGAGAAAAGCGCCTGCCATAGAGGCAGGCTGGGGTGAGGGTGATGGGAGGGAACTTGGGGACCCTGGTGCTGGGAAATGTGCCCTGGTGAAGGGACGGGTGTTTGATCATTGTATGACTGAAACCCAAACATGAACAGCTTTGTAAGGGTTTGTCTCACAGTGGTTCAATTAAAAAAAAAGGTTAAAAAAAAAGAATTTGACAAGTCATTTCTTTTTTCTTATTATCTGTATTGCAAACCGTAATGCCCAAAAGTAGAGAGAGAGTATGAGAAAAAAATGTCTGCCATGGAGGCAAGGGGAGGGGTGGGATGGGGGGGTTACTAGGGACTTTGGCGGTGGAGAATGTGCCCTGGTGGAAGGACGGGTGTTCCATCATCGTATGACTGAAACTCAAACGTGAAAGTTTTGTAGCTATAGCTCATGGTGGTAAAGGTAAAAGGCCCTCCCGTTGATCGTCGATTTGCTCGAGCGGGCCCAGTAACGTCTCCATTGGAGACTTTGTTGTTACTGTGTCTGGCATATCGAATACTCTCGGTAGCTTGCCGGGCTCTCCGAGAGGGGCGGAGGAATCGAACTCGGGTCGGCCGTGTTGGCCGCTTGTAAGGCGAACGCCCTACCCGCTGTGCTATCGCTGCTAGAACCTCCAAGCTCATGGTGATTCAATAAAAAAAAAAGGAAAAAGAGAAAAAATAACTTCTGCAAGATTTGTAGTGTGTTCCTTTTGGGGGCTCTGAATTTTAAAGAAAAAAAATTTAAAACTTCAAATTTTAGCACAGCGGTAGGGCGTTTGCCTTGCACGCAGCCAACCTGGCCGACCCGAGTTCGATTCCTCCGCCCCTCTCGGAGAGCCCGGCAAGCTACCGAGAGTCTCTCGCCCGCACGGCAGAGCCTGGCAAGCTCCCCGTGACGTATTCGATATGCCAGACACAGTAACAACAAAGTCTCCAATGGAGACGTTACTGGGCCCGCTCGAGCAAATCGACGAACAACGGGAGGACCGTGATCCGTGATCCGAAAAAATTTCAAAGTTATATAAATAACTATCCTTCTTCCCCCCACCCCCTTGATCATTTTGCCTACATTTTGGTTTTGGTGATCCTAGTGTTAATAAGTTCTGATAACCCACTACCATCGGACCAGCCCGGCAAGCTACCAAGAGTATCTCGCCCGCACGGCAAAGCCTGGCAAGCTCCCCGTGACGTCTTCAAGATGCCAAACACAGCAACAACAAGTCTCACAACGGAGGCGTTACTGGACCCACTCGAGCAAATCGATGAACAATGGGAGGACATTGCTACAGTGCTTGGTTTTGGTGTTTGGGTCACACCTGGTGATGCCTAGGGCTTGCTCCTGGCTCTGTGCTCAGTGACCACTCCTGGTGGGTTCAGGGGATTCTGTGCAGTGCTGGGGATGGAGTCTAGGTTAGCTGCTTACAAGGTAAGCACCACAACCTCTGTATTATCTTTCCAGCCCCATCTGCATATTTTTTTTTCTAATTTCAGTGAGTGCCCCTTATTGTGGTAGCATTGTTGCACTGTCCTCCTGTTGTTCATCAATTTGCTCGAGCGGGCCCAGTAACGTCTCCATCATGAGACTTGTAGTTACTGTGTCTGGCATATCGAATACATCCAGGGTAGCTTGCCAGGCTTTGCCGTGCGGGCGAGATACTCTCAGTAGCTTGCTGGGCTGGGGCGGAGGAATCAAACCCGGGTCGGCCATGTGCAAGGCAAATGCCCTCCACGCTGTGCTATTGCTCCAGCACTTATTGTGGTAAAGCTTGAAAAATATTCTATTTTTTTCTTATTGGGCCACACCCAGCGATGCTCAGGGGTTCCTCCTGGCTCTGCACTCAGGAATCACTCCAGGTGGTGCTCAGGGGACCTTATGGGATGCCGGGGATCGAACCCAGGTCGGCTGCGTGCAAGTCAAATGCCCTCCCTGCTGTGCGATTGCTCTGGCCCTTTTGAAAAATATTTTTGTGGGCCTGTGTTCTCCACAGAGAGATACCGATTCTCTAGAAAGTTCCTACACTGCTCTGGAGGACATTGGTATAAGGTGTAAGTTGTATGCATCCCCAAACATGAACAGCCATGCGACACACAGACACACAGCCTCTCCCGAAGAGAGATTTCTGGAGAGTTCCCTGAGCACTGGGCTGGGGTTGACCTACCCACTTTGGGGAGCTCTGTCCAAATGGCATTTCGGGGGTGCATCTTGGCTCTCTTTCATTGAAGGGATCAGAATTATAGAAGACCTTTATTTGGGTCATTTTCCACACTAAGTCTCCCTCGTTCTCTCCAAAAATCTAAGGTGATTTGCATCATTTGACTTTGAGGAATAAAGACTAAGAAAGGAGGAACTTGGGGCTGGAGCAATAGCACAGCGGGGAGGGCGTCTGCCTTGCATGCGGCAGACGTGGGTTCGATTCCCAGCATCCCATATATTCTCGTGAGCACTGCCAGGAGTGATTCCTGAGTGCAGAGCCAGGAGGAACCCCTGAGTATCGCCAGGTGTGACCCAAAAAGCAATAAAATAAAATAAAAAAAAGGAAGGAGGGACTTTCCTGCGTGATCTTGGACAAGAGGAAGATTTGCATAAAACCGCATGTTGACCCGAACTCAAGTTCAATGTTTGTCTCTCCTGAAATGCTTGGTTCCCCTCCCCTGCCCTGACCCCGGCCCCCCTTCCACTGTCCCGGAACCCCAGAAAGTCAGAGAGAGAGAGAGAGCAAAGCCGCCCCTACATTTGACATCGGAATCTTCTGGGGGCCCTCCCGTAATCATCAACCCTGACACAGGTGACCCAACCCCAAACTTCCTGCTTGGAAATGCTCAGAAGCGGCAAATCTAACCCAGACCCCGCGTGAGCCAGGCCCAGGTTTTTTCCAGAAATGACAGAACACGCGTTGCAAACTTGACTTCATCCCAGGCCTTGGGCTGCTCCCGTTTTTTTTTTTTTTTTTCCACCTTTGCTGCTTCTGGGCAAGAAAACCAGGCCATCACCTCTAACTTCCGCTTCGTATCTTAGGTCCTTCCCTTTCCTCTTTGCTCCTAATTAGACCTCATCCCGCATCCAAATTGGGCCTCCTTTGCCAAGAGGCCCACCCGCTCCTCCGGTGCGTCTCCAAGCCCCTGGGGTCAGCAGAAACATCTGGACGTCCATCTCCAGAGCACAAGTTCTGGGCTGGGTCCCCAAGCAAAGTCCCCGCCGTCAGAGGGTATTTCTGGCCAAGCAGCTGTTTTGGCAAACGTTGAACCGGCTCGTGGCAGGCTCTCACCCATTCACCCCGTTTCTGATTCTCGTTTCCTCTGGGAGAGAATCACCCCCGGGAGACTGTGAAGTGGCGATTGTTCTCCGGATGGCCAGGGTCAGTTTGGAGGCTGCCCAGGGCGGACGCGCCCCTCCCTGCTCCCTTCAACTCTCTTTCATGGGGTGATTAGGATGTGTGATGGGAAACGTCTGGCCGCCTCTGGGCCCGCACCCAGCATTCCTGCTGGAAATGAAATTGAGTGCTGGATGCTGGGTCATGGTTCTTCCTGCTCCTCATCAGCGAGGATGTGCCTGTCTCCCCCAAAACCCCATCTTCTCTTACTCATCCATCAGACTCTTGGGCGCTCCGTGGCCTCGGATGAACTAAATAGTTTTGAGTTTGTGTTTCCGACCGTTGGGAAGGGAGATAGTGGGGTCCCCCGGCAAGGACTATAGGCCAAAGGGTACCAGAGAGAGAGAGAGAGAGAGAGTTCAGGGGAAGGGCTTTCACACGCATCTCACCCCACTCTGTTTTGTTTTGTTTTGCTTTGTTTTTTGGGTCCCACCCGGCGATGCCCAGGGCTGACTCCTGGCTCTGCACTCAGGGATCACTCCTGGCGGTGCTCGGGGGACCCCAGGGGATGCTGGGGATCGAACCCGGGTCAGCCATGTGCAAGGCCAATGCCCTCCCTGCTGTGCTATTATTTAGGCCCCTGGCCCCACTTTGATCCTGGCACCCCAAAGGACCCCCGTCCCCCCTGAGCCTGAGGGAGTGATCCCTGAGCACAGAGCTAGGAGTAAGTCCTAAGCATTGTCAGATAGACGCCGGCAGATAGGTTAGGGAAGGCCCCCGCCCTCCAACGTGATGGCAATGAAATTTCTGGGAAGGTAAATTCTATCCACCTTGTGGATACAGAAAGCAAGACCTGAGATAAGACCTTCAGCAGGGGCTGGAGCGATAGCACAGTGGGGAGGGCGTTGGCCTTGCATGCGCAGTCGACCCGGGTTCGATTCCTCCATCCCTCTCAGAGTGCCCGGCAAGCTCCCAAGAGTATCCCGCCCGCACGGCAGAGCCCGCATGGCAAGCTCTTTGTGGTGTCTTTGAGATGCCAAACACAGTCACAACAAGTCTCACCATGGAGACTTTACTGGCGCCCGCTGGAGCAAATCGATGAACAACGGGAGGACAGTGCGACAGTGCTTACTTAAAAACAAACAAACAGGGGCTGGAGTGATAGCATCGCAGGTAGGGCATTTGCCTGGCACGCGGCCAGCCAGCCGACCCGGGTTCGATTCCCAGCATCCCATATGGTCCCCAGGGCACCGCCAGGGGTAATTTCTGAGGGCGGAGCCAGGAGTAACCCCTGTGCATCGCAGGGTGTGACCCAAAAAGCCAGGAAAAAAACAAATGAAGAATGTGAGTCGATGGCAAATGAATAACATCTTCATTCACACCAAAGTCCAGACCGCGAGAACAGACAGACAGACAGACACTGTCCCTTGCCACCCATTGCCTTGTTTCTCCCCGGAAGCAACGGTCCAAATCGGAGCCGGTCACAGCTGCAGGTGGGCTGGGGTGGGGGAGGGGCGGTCGCGGGCAGGAAGGGGGCTTGAGGGTCCCGTGGACGCTCCATCCTCAGGCGGTGCCGGGACTCCTTCGTCTTCCTTGGTGGGGCTGGACTGGAACTTGCTCCCGCAGACGAGGCCTTAGTAGGGGACATTCAAGCTGCAGAGACGGGTGGAGGGAAAGGAGGGAGAGGGACGTGAAGGGGCCGGAAGGAGCACCAGGAGGGAGCTCCCGGAAGGAGTACTGGGAAGGAGCACTGGGAAGGGGCACCAGGAACAAGTACCAGAAAGGAGAACCAGGAAGGAGCACCAGGAAGGAGCACCTGGAAGGAGCACAGGAAAGAGTCCCCGGAAGGAGCACCAGGAAGGAGCACCAGGGAAGTGCATCAGAAAAAAGTACAAGGAAGGAGCACCCAGAAAAAGCATTAGGAAAGAGCACTAGGAAGGAGCACCAGGAAAGAGTACCCAGAAGGAGCACCAGGAAGGAGCACTTGGAAAGAGCACCCAGAAGGAGCACCAGAAAAGAGTACCCAGAAGGAGCACCAGGAAGGAGCACTCAGAAAGAGTACCGAGAAGGAGCATCGGGAGGGAGCACTCGGAAGGAGCACTCGGAAAGAGCACCCAGAAGGAGCACCAGGAAAAAGCACCCAGAAGAAGCAGGAAAGAGCACCAGGAAGGAGCACTAGGAAGGAGTACTGGCAAGCAGGGAGAGCCTGGGAAGGGAGTGGAACCTTCCATGAGTGGGCCGTGGCCTAGACCTGAGCGGTGCTGTACCCCACACCCGCATCTCCCCAGCGTCCCCAAGGCTGATACTCAGGGCAGACGTGACGGCCCCGGTCTGCTGGGATCCCGGCCCCGTGCCTCACTGTCCCGTCCTGAATCCTTTGCTCCTCATCCCTGGAGCAACGGGAGGCAGGTCTGAGGGGGCGGTTCTGCCTTTGGGTCTGGTGGGCTTAAGGGAGAGTGCAGGAGGGAGAGACAGGCGGGAAGGGGGGAGGTTGTAGGGGGAGGCAGCCAACCTCGGCTCGAGCCCCAACACACGGTTTCCTGAGCACTGCCAGACCCTGAGAAGCTTTCGAGCACTGCCAGGTGTGCACCGTACCCCCAATAAATAAATAAAGAGAAATCAGAAAAAAAAATGGGCTGGAGCAATAGCACAGCGGGTAGGGCGTTTGCCTTGCACACGGCCGACCCGGGTTCGATCCCTGACATCCCATAGGGTCCTCCGAGCACCGCCTGGAGTGATTCCTGAGTGCAGAGCCAGGAGGAACCCCTGAGCATCGCCGGGTGGGACCCAAAAAGAACACTGTCACTGTCCTGTCCTCCCGTTGTTCATCGATTTGCTCAAGCGGGTCCAGTAACGTCTCCATGGTGAGACTTGTTGTTACTGTGTTTGGCATATCGAATACGTCACGGGGAGCTTGCCAGGCGAGATACTCTCGTAGCTTGCCGGGCTCTCCGAGAGGGGCGGAGGAATCGAACCCGGCTTGGCTGGGCTGGCTGCGTGCCAGGCAAACGCCCTACCGCTGTGCTATCGCTCCAGCCTTACCCAAAAAGGAAAAAAAAAACAAAAATAAAACAAAACAAAACAAAAAAACACCTAAATTCCTGACCTAAGTCAGAGGGAAAAAAAAAACACATCAAAGTTCCATGAAACGTGGTTCTAACTCACTCTGTGGGGATATGTCTCAGGGGAAGGGGCCCGCTGGGTTTCCTGAGACGAAAAGATCCTGGCGTGTGGGACGGTCTGATTCTTGGAGAGGAAGGGGAGACCTAGAGGTTGTCTGTCTAGATGCCACCTCTTACAGGAAGCCCTCCCTGCTGACATGGCTCTCCGTCTGCTGCCAGTTTATGCCAGCTGCAAATGTGCCTGCATGACTCGGCAGAAGCCGTCCTCTGAGGTGGGCACTGTACCTCCTTCTACATCTCCATGGTCACTTTCCCCCGAATTCAGACCCGAGAAACCCAGTGAGGTGAAAAGAACCAACGGCGTCGAGAATGCCAACAGCCCCGGTGAGAAATGGAAAGAAAGACTGAGTGACGCTTCTCCAAAGACGGCGCGCAGACGGCCAATGGGCTCACGGAAAAGTGCTCATGGCCACTGGTTAGGCCAAAACACAGGTCAAAAGGACAGTGAGACACGGCCTCACGCCATGAGAATGGTCTAGAACAAACAGGACGGGGATGTGGCCGGGAATATGATTCCAGCACATTCTTAGCCCAGGTGACAGCTTGAATTCCCTCCCCAGCGGGTGTGGCCCCCACTTTGAAAAATGTTTACAGGGCCAGAGCGATAGCACTGGGTAAGATTAGCACGCGGCTGACCCGGGTTCGATCCCCAGGATCCCATAGGGTCCCCTGAGCACCGCCAGGAGTGATTCCTAAGTGCAGAGTCAGGAGGGACCCCTGAGCATTGCCAGGTGAGACCCCAAAAAAAGCAAAAAAAAAAAAAATCACAAATGCTGGGATGGCTGAGGAGAGAAAGAAATTCTACCTCTTGGTTGGTGGGAATGAAACTCTGCTCAGCTTCCATGGGAAGCAGAAAAGAGAGATTTCTCCCACAAACGGCACTGGAATCGTCGTTATATACTGAAATTCCACTTCTCAATCTTTCACCAAAGAATTCTTTTATAAAATTTCAATTATGAAGGGATAGCGCGGCCAGTTGGGCACTTGCCTTGCACAAGGCAAAGCCGGGTTCGATCCCCAGCATCCCATGTAATCCGCCAAGTCTACCAGAAGTAATTCCTGAGCACAGAGCCAGGAGTAACCCCTGAATATTGTCAGGTGTGACTCCCCCAAGCAAAAAAACCTGGGAGTTGGAGTGATAGCACAGCGGGGAGGGCGTTTGCCTTGCATGAGGCCAACCTGAGTTCGATTCCCAGCATCCCATAGGGTCCCCTGAGCACTGCCAGGAGTAATTCCTGAATGCATGAGCCAGGAGGAACCCCTGTGCATCGCCGGGTGTGACCAAAAAAAGCAAAAAAAAAAAAAAAGACAAAAAAACAAAACAAGCAAACAACCTTTCGTCTCCTCATAGAGAAGCACCTTCATTGTTCCCTGCAGTGCTATCTGGAACTAACCCAAGCACCCAGCAATGCACTGGAGAAAGTTGTGGGACCAGGGACGGGGTGCTATGGGCTGGACAGTGCTGAAGGGGCGTGGGTGTTTTGGGGGTGCCGTGGCAGTTTTGAACACCAAAAGCCTATAAACTTGACGCTCATATAAACCAAGTCGACTTGGAGGAAAAAATTTAAAAGAGGCAAAAGAGAATTGAAACCGCCAGTGCCCCAGGAGACAGATGGTGATCGGCCAACCCGGAGCGACAGAGGAGCACCAGGGACCATCAGCGTCTGCTCAAGGACTGAGAAATAACCAAGGTGGTTGTTTCACCTTGGGTGTGTTCTGGCAACACACCCTGTTTCCCCTACTCCACCCTTCCTCCGTTTCGCTGCGGTTTTTGTGTGATGAAAAAATCATGGCTGGAGAAGCAGGAGGTCTAGGAATTGGAGTCAACAAGCTGGGAATCGGGAGTTCTGAGGTCCGGAAGAACCGAGATTAAGTACCTGATCCTTGGCTAGAAATCCTTGGTCACCGGGAGTGACCTCTCTCTCTCTCTCTCTCTCTCTCTCTCTCCCTCTCTCTCTCTCTCTCTTTACCTCTAAAATAGGGAAACCAATCATAGTAACCCACAGGCACTGTCCTCCTGTTGTTCATTGATTTGCTCGAGCGGGCACCAGTAACGTCTCACAACACATTGTGACACTTGTTGTTACTGGTTTTTGGCATATGGAATATGTCGCGGGGAGCTTGCCAGGCTTGCGAGATACTGTCAGTAGCTTGCCGGGCTCTCCGAGAGGGGTGGAGGAATCGAACCCCGGGTCGGTCATGTGGGCCACCTGCAAGGCAAACGCCATACCCGCTGTGCTATGGCTCCAGCCCAACCCAAGGCAATCGTGATTAATGCAAGACTTGTAAAGCGTACAGCATGGAGGACGTTGAATAAACTTTTATCGCTGGAGCGATAGCACAGCGGGTAGGGTGTTTGCCTTGCACGTGGCCGACCCGGGTTCGATTCCTCCATCCCTCTTGGAGAGCCCGGCAAGCTACCGAGAGTATCCCGCCCACATGGCAGAGCCTGGCAAGCTCCCCAGGGTGTATTCGAGATGCCAAACACAGTCACAACAAGTCTCACCACGGAGATGTTACTGGTGCCCGCTTGAGCAAATCGATGAACAATGGGAGGACAGGGCTACAGTGCTACCAACTGATACCCAGGCAATACTATGGATCTGTTGTCAAGAGAAGCTGGGCACCGTACTTGATGACCCAAATCTTAGCCAGACAGCAAATTCTATAATTCTGTGACTTAAAGTCACTGTGCTCGAGCAGTGAATGGTAGGGATTCCAAAGCCGCTGGACAAACAAAGGATTCTTCTTTTCTAGATCTTTCTAGAAAGTGGGAATTTTTGGGGGGTGGGGCAGGGATCTTTTTGGGTCACACCCAACAATGCTCAGGGGTTCCTTCTGGCTCTGCACTCAGGAATCATTCCTGGCAGTGCTCGGGGGACCCTATGGGATGCCGGGGATCGAACCCGGGTCGGACGCATGCAAGGCCAACGCTCTCCCCACTGTGCTATCGCTCCGGGTCCTAAATCTCTTCTTCCACCCCAAATCCATCAGCCGCCACCCTCTTCTCCCTTGCATGTCCCTGACAAACATTTCCTGCGATTTCTGTCCTCACAATTCAATGCAGTAATAAGAATCTCGGGCGCTCAGGGCAATTGACTTCGCCCCAGCTTTGTCTCAGGCTCAGCCTGGTTCCAATACGGGGCCGTTTCCCCCGGGGTGGGGGGGGGGTGTGGAAAACGTAGCACGACCCGTTTCCACGGAGCAAGACACACCCTCCCCACCTCTGCAGGCAGAAACCAGCTCTCTGGGCAGATGGTAACTGTTGAAACTTTCACTCCTTGGATGCGAACAGTAGCGAAATCGTTACATCTTGCGGTTTCCTGACCACAACTCGGGGTGGGGTGTGGGGGGTGGGTAAGAGCAGGCCCCCAAAAAGGGAAGCCGTGTGGTGTCACCGAGAGGGCTCAGAGGGTCCAGGGTCCATCCTGTCCCCTCCCACCCCCACCCCTTCCCAACAACCCTGAAGCCTGAGTCACCTCCTCCACCTTTATTTACTGTCTCTCTCTCTTTCTCTCTCTTTTGGGTCCCACCTGGCGATGCTCAGGGCTGATTCCTGGCTCTGCACTCAGGAATCACTCCTGGCTGGTGCTCGGGGGACCCTGTGGGATTCTGAGGATCGAACCCGGGTCGGTCGCGTGCAAGGCCAACGCCCTCCCTACTGTGCTATGGCTCCAGCCCCATTTTTTTTTCTTTTTGGGTCCCACCCGGCGATGCTCAGGGCTGACTCCTGGCTCTGCACTCAGGAATCACTCCTGGTGGTGCTCGGGGGACCCTATGGGATGTTGGGGATCGAACCTGGGTCCACCGCGTGCAAAGCAGATGCCCTACCTGATGTACTGTCTCTCGGACCCTGATCTATCTCATTTATTTTTTGTTTTGTTTTGTTTTTAGGTAACACCCAGCAATGCTCAGGGGTTACTCCCGGCTCTGCACTCAGGAATCACTCCTGGCAGTGCTCGGGGGACTCTATGGGATGCTGGGGATCGAACTTGGGTCGGCCGAGTGCAAGGCAAACGCCCTCCCCGCTGTAGTATGGCTTTGGTCCCTGTTTATTGATTTCATCTGCTGCGTTGGCATCTCCAGGGAACAGCGTAACCTCTCTTGTCCTGCCCCGTTTCCTTGCTGAGGTCAGGGGGAGGGACGTTGAGGTGGACGGAGAATGAAGAACTTGAGAAGTTGTGGTGTGTGTGTGTGTGTGTGTGTGTGTGTGTGTGTGTGTGTGTGTGTCTTTGGGTCCCACCTGGCGATGCTCAGGTCTGACTCCCGGCTCTGCACTCAGGAATCACTCCTGGCAGTGCTCAGGGGGGACCCTATGGGATGTTGGGAATCAAACCCGGGTCGGCCAGGTGCAAGGCCAACGCCCTCCCCGCTGGGCTATGACTCCAACCCCCCTCCACCTCCTCTTACCTCCACACCCCTGCAGGTTTCTGACACCCGCCAGCCCTGCTAATACTCCTGTTACACCCCTCCTGCAGGGGCCAGCTGGGTTGGAACATTTAGAAAGTAAACGTTCCATCCCCGCCCACTCTCCAGCTTTGTCCTGGATGTCCCCCGTGCTGGTCACCTCCTGTGGCATCAGGACCTCCTCTGAGCTCAGGTAACCCCCCTGCAAGGCAGCCACAGGAGGGGGCGAATTGGGATGCCGATGGCCCCAAGGGTGCTCACGTTGGTGCTGTCTCGGGCGCTGGTTTAGGGCATTAGGACTCAGGCCTGGCTTCCTGCTTTAGAACCCAGAAACTCCCCCAAGCCCCTTTCTCCCTCCCAGCCTAGCCCCTGCCGTGTTGGTTTGATCTTCCTGTTTTCTCGTGAGGTTGGAGCGATAGCACAGCGGTAGGGCGTCTGCCTTGCAAGCCGCCAGCCCGGCCGAGCTGGGTTCGATTCCTCCGCCCCTCTTGGAGAGCCAGGCAAGCTCCCGAGAGTATCCCGCCCGCACGGTAGAGCCTGGCAAGCTCCCCATGGCATATTTGAGACGCCAAAAACAGTAACAAAAAGTCTCAGCATGGAGACGTTACTGGTGCCCGCTGGAGCAAATCGTTGAACAATGGGAGGACAGTGCTGCCTCATCCCAGGGTCTCCTGACAGGCCCTTGAATAGAGGCACTTGGACCCAAGAGACTTTGGATTCCATCCTCAGGACCACCCATCCCTTAGGCTGATTCTTACAGTTCCCTTGAGGTCCCAGGGGAGAGGAGGGAGTGGGGGGTTGGGGGAGGGGTAATCTCCCTGAGCACAGAGCTGGGCTCAGCCCCTGAATGCCACCTGCTGTGCCCTCAAACCACAGAACAGGAAAAGAAAGGAGAAGAGAGAGAGAGGGGGAAAGGGAGAGAGACAGACAGACAGACAGAGACAGACAGAGAGACAAATTCACAAATCCGGAAACTCTTCAAAAGGGAACTTACTTTTGCCGAGACTTTTGACCTAAAATGAGAAGAAACAGAAAAGTGTCGTTAGCCAAAGCAAATACCATTCTTTAAAAAAGAAGTTTAAGAAGGAGGAAAAGGAGAAGGAGAAAGAGAAGAAAGAAGAAGAGAAGGAGAAGAGGGAGGAGGAGGAGGAGAAGGAGGAGGAGGAGAAGAGGAAGAAGAAGGAGCAGAAGGAGGAGGAAGAGGGGGAGGAGGAGGAGGAGGAGGGGGAGAAGGAGGAGGAGGAGGAAGAAGAAGGGGAGGAGGAGGAGAAGGAGGAGGAGAAGAAGAGGAAGAAGAAGAAGAAGAAGAAGAAGAAGGAGGAGGAGGAGGAGGAGGAGGAGGAGGAGGAGGAGGAGGAGGAGGGGGAGGAGGTAATTATCTAAAATTTTAGAATCCCAGGAGTGCGCAGCCGCCCTTGCAGCCGTGCGACATCTTATACTATTCACAACAAGCAATACAAAAGAGAGTCTGGGGGAGATTGTCTGCTACGGAGGCAGGGGGAGGGCTGGGATGGTGGGAGGGATACTGCGGACACTGGCGGTGGGAGATGAGCACTGGTGGAGGGGTGGGTGTTCCGTCATTGCATGCCTAGAACTCAAACAGGAAAGCTTGTAACTATCTCACGGTGATTCAATTAAAAAAAATAAAAATTAAAAAAAAAGAGAGAAGGAGGGTTGGAGCATTAGCACAGCGGGGAGGGCGTTGGCCTGGCACGCGGTCGACCAGAGTTCGATCCCCAGCATCCCATAGGGTCCCCCGAGCACCGCCAGGAGTGATTCCTGAGTGCAGAGCCAGGAGTCAGCCCTGAGCATCGCCGGGTGGGACCCAAAAGCAAAAAACAAAAAAGGAGAAGAAGGAAGAGGCAGAGAGAAAGGTGTGGTTCAAAACCCAAAAGATAAAGGGGAAAATATGAAATCGAAACCCGCAGGAAGGCGGGGCGGGCTCGTGGCTGGCAGTTGTTGAGGTGGGAGTGTGAAGCGGGTCGTTAAGAGCTGGGCAGTGTCTGTGAACTGCCTTGTTTTGAATTTTTCTGCCACGAGAGAGGGTCTCCGTGTGGCACCACCCGCCCAGGGTGGGCTGGGGGCGTGGCCGGCCTTCCGGTCCCCACCTGAGAGAAGTCGCCCTCTCACACCCTCCTGCATGGTGAGGCGTGGAGTTGCTTCTCAGGATCCGGGGGGGCTTCACCCAGGGACTGGAAGGCCCCCATGTGTACATCAGAGCCAGCTAAGCCTCTGCTCTCAACAAGGGCACGAGGAACCGGCTTCTGGGCATTCTCTTGTCCCCAGTGGACATTTATCAGAGACCCATCCTGTCTTAGGGGACAGAGTTTATGCATCTTTTTTTTTTTTTTTACAGAATTAAATAAACACAAAGGACCAGTGGAATGTCCTATTAGGGGGCCCAGGGCCTAACAGAGAGAAAAGACTTATTTTTTATCTTTATTTATTTATTTTTAAAATTAATTTATTTTTATTTTTTAAATTAATTTATTTTTATTTCTTTGCTTTTTGGGTCACACCCAGCGATGCTCAGGGTTGACTCCTGGCTCATGCACTCAGGAATTACCCCTGCTGATGCTCGAGGGACCATATGGGATGCTGGGAATCGAACCTGGGTCGGCTGCGTGCAAGGCAAATGCCCTTCCCGCTGTGCTATCTCTCCGGCCCCACAAGACTTTTTTTTTTTTTTTTGCTTTTTGGGTCACACCCAGCAACGCACAGGGATTACTCCTGGTTCATGCACTCAGGAATTACTCCTGGCCGTGCTTGGGGGACCATATGGGATGCTGGGAATCGAACCTGGGTCGGCCGCGTGCAAGGCCAACGCCCTACCCTCTGTGCTATCACTCCAGCCCCACAAGACTTATTTTTAAAATATATATATATATATATATATATATATATATTACAAGATTAGCCAGAGACAAAGCAAGACTCAACCAGTTTGTCTCAAAGAAAGAGGGCTTGAGAGGTCATCCTGTTTGGTCCTTGATCTACTCTCAGCACACATCTCCCATCCCAAGCGACCCCTCCATCCATCACTGACTCAGTGACCCCTTCTCCATCCCAGCTGCCTTCTCCCCCAGCTCATGAGGCAGGCTGCCAACCATGGAGCAATCCTCCTGGCCCTTGTCGCTACGTCCTTGGGTGTCAGTCTCATATTATGTTATTTTATTTATTTATTTTTATTTTAGTTCTTGCTTTTGGGGGTCATACCCAGCGATGCTCAGGGCTGACTCCTGGCTCTCTGCTCAGGAATTACTCCTGGTGGTGCTCGGGGGACCATATGGGATGCCGGGGATCGAACCTGGGTCGGCTGCATGCAAGGCAAATGCCCTACCTGCTGTACTATCGCTCTAGCCTCAGTGTTATTTTATATCTCACGGTGATTATATATATATATATATATATTTAAAAAAGGAAAAGAAAAAGAAAGAAAGAAAGAAAGAAAGAGACAGGAAGGAAGGAAGAAAGAAAGAAAGAAAGAAAGAAAGAAAGAAAGAAAGAGGGCTTGCATAGGTCTATGTATACCTCCAGACATGGGTGTCTACACTGCATGGAGCTTGGAATCCAGTTGCCTCTCCCACACCTCCCTGGGTTACCGTTTTTGCCTTGCCTGTCAGAGTTGACTTCTCATGCCAGACTCACCTTTTCGGAGCCTCCTGGCCAACCAGAGAAGAAACACCAGCCCCACAAACGCAGTGACCAGCACGCCCAGCGGGATGAAGAGGGGCTTGTAGTCTCCATCCTTAATCTGCGAGAAGCTTCTGTCTAGTTCTGAAAGAGACCCCAGAGAGATCCAAGGGGTGATGGGCCATCTCTGAGTGAGACCCCAATCTCCTAGCAACGCCCCACCCCCTTACATTCTCCTACTAATCACCTCCGTCCGTGCCAGTGGCCAGGTGGGGGCGCTGTGGGCGGACATCCTTCTCACACACGCTAGGATGGATGCCAGGTACTTCATGTCCCTATGCTGAGACCTTTCGAGTGACTTTCAACCCCGCACCCCAATGTATAACGGGGGACAAGCTCACGTTCCCACAGGACCCAAACAAACAGAGGGGACCTCCAGGCTTCTTTAAGGACCAAACGGGATGGCCTCTCGGTATCTGTATTGCAAACCAGAATGCCCCAAAGTAGAGAGAGAGTCTGGGGGAAGTTGTCTACCATAGAGGCAGGGGGAGGGGTGGGGTGGGGGGATACTGGGGACCTTGGTGGTGGGGAATGTGCCCTGGTGGAGGGATGGGGGTTCCATCATTGATTGAAACTCAAACATGAAAGCTTTGTAACTGTATCTCATGGTGATACAACTGAAAAAAAAAAAAGAATGAAACAATGGAACTGGAGCAATAGTTCAGTGGGTAGGGCGTTTGCCTTGCATGCGGCCAACCCAGGTTTGATCCCTGGCATCCCATAAGGTCCCGTGAGCACCGCCAGGAGTAATTCCTGAGTGCAGAGCCAGGAAGAATCCCTGAGCACCACTGGGTGTGACAGAAAAAGCAAAAAAAAAAAAAAAAAAATGCTTGGTCCTAGACCACATGGAGATCTGCTTTTTCTGGTAACTTCCTGGATGGTCCCAGGGCAAACATGGCTCTCTGGACCCTTTCACGGGATGATATAGGAGATCTTCATTCAACCCCTTCCACCCCTCTGCCTAGACCTTGTGCTTGAGGGATGGGACAGAGAGAGGAAGAGGCATAGTCCTCCAGGCAGAGACAGATGGCGGAGGCTCCAGCGGAGTGCTCCTTGAGAAGTGCTCACTGTGGGGCCGGAAACGGTCTCTGGGGACCCATGCATGGGTTTGTGGATGAACTCACAGAGAAGTGGGTGGGAATCGGGCAAAAACATGGGTAACATTTAGATCAGTAGAGACAGAGGGGCTAGATCCTAGGAACTGAGTTGGGAGGGTTGAGAATGCTTTGAAAGAAGAAGGGAGAACAAGAGGGTGTTTTAGAGGAGATGAGTGTGTCCAGGTTGCAAAAATATTATTATTTTTATATGTCTTTTCTTTTTCTTTTGGGTCACACCCGGCGATTCATGGGGGTTACTGCTGGCTCATGCACTCAGGAATCACTCCTGGAGGTGCTCGGGGGACATATGGGATGCCGGGAATCGAACCCGGGTCGGCTGGGTGCAAGGCAGACGCCCTACCCGCTGTACTATTACTCCAGTCCCTACAAAAATATTTGAGTGGGTGGGAGCACCAAGCATTGAGTCCTGGGGTTCATTCTTGCAATAATTATTAAACCCTATATATAGTGCATTATCTCTGAGCATGCCACCTGCTGATCTGTCAATATTTGATGTTTTATAATAATTATTATTATTGCTTTTGGGGGCACACCCAGCAGTGCTCAGGGGTTCCTCCTGGCTCTGCACTCAGAGATCAATCCTGGCGGTGCTCAGGGGGCCCTATGGGATGCTGGGATTCGAACCCAGGTCAGCCCCGTGCAAGACAAACGCCCTCCCCGCTGTCCTATGGCTCCGGTCCCAATATTTGGTGTATTGGGACAAGATACTCACTTTGACATATTGGACTGGGGTACGTCCAGTTTCCAGAAGATTCACAGACGGTTCTGTTCACCCCGATCAGTTCACTTCCTTCGGAGCACGTGAAGGTGCAGGCAGAATTGGGGCTGAAGGTGGCCAGGGGGTGGCTACAGTCCATGGTCCCCAGCTCCGGAGCCCTTAGGGGTTCACACTGAGTGACTTCATTAAAACAGAAGTTGGGGGAGACGGAAAGTTGGTTAGCACAGGCGAGGTGCTTGCCTTGCATGCAGCCAACCCAGTTCGATCCCTGGCACCCCATATCGCCCCCATATGATCACTGAGTGCAAAGCCAGGAGTAAGCCCTGAGCACCCCAGGGGTAGCCCAAACCACCGTCCCCCCAAAAATGAAGAACAAAAGCAAGCCTCACTTTCTGAGCAGAGACCCGCTTTTTTTTTCAACCCAGTGATGCTCAGGGGTTCCTCTGACTCTCCACTCAGGAATCACTCCTGGCAGTGCTCGGGGACCCTATGGGATGCCGGAGATCGAACCCAGGTCGGCTGTGTGCTAGGAAAACGCCCTCCCCGTGGTATCATTGCACCAGCCCTGTCGTGGTGGTTTTTATTTATTTATTTTTTTTGCCTTTTGGTTCACACCCGGTGATGCTCAGGGGTTACTCCTGGTTCATGCACTCAGAAATTGCTCCTGGCGGTGCTCGGGGGACCATATGGGGTGCTGGGAATCGAACCTGTGTCGGTCATGTTGGCTACGTGCAAGGCAAATGCCCTACCCGCTGTGCTATCACTCCAGCCCCTGTCGTGGTGTTTTTTTGGGTGGTGACACCAGACCACGTTCAGGGGTTCCTCCTGGCTCTGCACTCAGGAACCGCTCCTGGCGGTGCTCGGGGGACCCTATGGGATGCTGGGGATCGAACCCAGGTCGGCCATGTGCCAGGCCAATGCCCTCCCTGCTGTGCTATCGCTCCAGCCCCCAAAGACCCACTCTTGACTAAAGGGCTTTGGCCAAAGCGGCTTTCCAGAACTCAATACAGTCCACCTGGGCTTGGACATTTGCCACTTCTAGAAATGACCCCTGATGCTTGAAGCGGGGTTTATCCATGTTACCATGAGTGTGGGCCTGACCGGAACGGGGAGGGTCCTGACAGAGATGTTTTTTCTTTTCCCCATGATTACCATTTTTATTGCAATGTGTGAAAACATATATTCACCTAAACTTCAGATGGCAAAGAAAGATTTGGAGACAAATCCTCAGCAAAATCAGGGCAAGTGTTTCAGAGATTTTAACACTCTGGGTGGAACTGTTTAAAGATTTCACCATCCGTTTTCTTATCTTTTCAGGAAAATCCTCTGGAGAAGTGACTTTATAGAGGCAAACATAAATGTTGGTTTCTAGGCTTTGGCTGATGGGCCAGTTCGGGGTTAGGGGGGTTGCCTTACATGTGGCGAACCAGATTCAATCCCCGGCACCAGAGGGTCCCTCAAGCGTTACCAGATGCAGCAGGAGGTCCCCTGAGAGCCACGATTATAGACCCAGGGACTCCTGAGCACTGGGGCGGGGGGGGGGGGGCTGGCAGTCTCTGACACATTCGGGCAGAAACAATAGCCCCGGCTGCGTCTGTCATTGAACCACTGGCCTAGTTAGACTGAATTTTGGGAGGGTCCCCAGAGATGTCCTGAGAATAGCTTTCAATCCCCCCCATACTATATATATATATATAATATATATATCCACTATATATATAGAAAACCTTGCCCCCGCACCAGGCTGTCCTCACCCGGGCCCCCTTGGAGGGGGGCAGGTTGAGTCTCCCTCCCCGCCCCAAGCAGAACCCCAGCAGAGGAAAACTTCCAGAACCCACAGAGGCTCAGGCCACCCTCCACATGCTCGGATGAGCCTCACACATGAAGGAACCAGCAGAGAAACCCAGGTGTGTGGGACCCGGGGCTGAGATCTCCAAGGCTGCTCGGATCGGGACTGGTCCTCCTCCACCCAGATCTCCCATTTTCCTGTAGCTTGGCAGTGACACCCACAAACTGCCCCCGGTGCCAAGTAATCTCATCTTGGCCAAGATCCAGAGACTATAAAACAAAACTCCCGGAGGAGAGTGACACAGTATTTCCTGGAGCGATTAGAAGTTGCCTCAAAAGCCATCATCCCTCTCTGAGAGCCTGGCCAGCTACCGAGAGTATCCCGCACATACGGCAGTGCCTGGCAAGCTCCCCGTGGCGTACTCGCTATACCAAAAACTGTAACAATGACAGTCCTCATTCCTCTGATCCTGAAAGAGTCCCCAATATGCCATCAGGCTACACAAGCACACGATGGGACGAATGGAGACATTACTGGTGCCCGCTTGAGCAAATCGATGAACAACGGGATAACAGTGATACCGTGATACAGTGATATATAGCATATGTATCCACATAAATATATATATATGAATACTATATATGTAGGAAGTATTGAATGTACATTGCACATATGGAATCATTCCTGTAGGTTATGAGGTAGGAAGAGGAAGAAGGACTCACCAAACTGACATTGGGGGCCGTGGTACCCCAGATCACAGTGGCACGTGATGTTGTTGAGGGTTTCCACACATGTTCCATGGCCGCTGCATGACCCCGGCTGACAAGATACTGGGAAGGGGGGGGGGGCAAAAAACCATCAGAGGGAAATTTCATATTTTAGACCTAGATGTAACCTAGATGCCTTCAAGCTAGATGCCTTCAAGAGCGTCGAAGAAATAACTAAGAGGACAAAGAACCTCCAGCTCCGAGCACATCTCTTCGATTCTACTGTTCTTCCTGCATTAAATATGCCTCAGAGACCTGGGCCCTGCGCAAACAGGATGAGAACGCTATTCGGGTCTCCCAAAGAGGAATCGAAAGAGCTATGCTTGGAGTATCACGCTTCACTCAAATGAGAGAAAGAATCCGGAGTTCTGATCTCCGTCAACGCTCAAGAATCAGGGACGCTGTCTCATTTGCCAAGACATCAAAAATCAGATGGGCTGGACACGTAATGAGGTTTACAGACAACCGCTGGACTAGAGCCATTACTGACTGGATTCCACGGGACATCAAAAGATCGCATGGACGCCCACCTACAAGATGGTCAGACTTCTTCATCAAGACCCTGAACAATCGGTTTGAGGCTCTGCATGTTCCTAGAACGAACAGATGCCATTGGGCTACGCAAGCACGCAACCGGGATGAATGGAGACGTTACTGGCACCCGCTCGAGTAAATCGATGAATAACAGGGGATCAAGTGATCAAGTTATAAAGACCTAGATGATGCGGTGGCTGAAGTGAATGTAATATGCGGGACAGGCCAGTTTGTACCTTCACACCATGTCTTACCTTTCTACATGCGCCCGGAATAGTCTCACAGCCATGAAGATCTGTTTTTAGAATCAATTGACAATATGGGGCTGGAGCAATAGCACAGCATGGAGGGCGTTTGCCTTGCATGCGGCCAACCCGGGTTCAACTCCCAGCATCTCATAGGGACCTCTGAGCACTGCCAGGAGTAATTCCTGAGCACAGAGTGCTCAGGAGAAACCCCTGAGCCTAGCCGGGTGTGACCCAAAAAACAAATAAAACAAAACATAAAAACAAAACAATTGATTGGTAATATTGATCTTTTTTCACGTTTGGGGGAGATCGTGTCTACCACCAAAACTCTCAAAATGACTGATTCTATTTTTTTTTAATTTTTAAAAATTTTGTTGTTGTTGTTTTTAGTTGAATCACAGTGAGATATCCTGACTGGTCTTTATTCAACTTTAAAAAATTGTTGTAGGGGCTGGAGTGATAGCACAGCGGGGAGGGCACAGCGGGGCCTTGCACACGGCCAACCCGGGTTTGATTCCCGGCATCCCATATGGTCCTCTGAGCACCGGCAGGAGTAATTCCTGAGTGCAGAGCCAGGAAGAATCTCTGAGCACCACTGGGTGTGACACACACACCCAGTACTACCCACTGTACTATTGCTCCAGCCCCTACAAAAATATTTGAGTGGGTGGGAGCACCAAGCATTGAGTCCTGGGGTTCATCCTTGCAATAATTATTAAACCCTATATATAGTGCATTATCTCTGAGCCTGCCACCTGCTGATCTGTCAATATTTGATGTTTTATAATAATTATTATTATTGCTTTTGGGGGCACACCCAGCAGTGCTCAGGGGTTCCTCCTGGCTCTGCACTCAGAGATCACTCCTGGCGGTGCTCAGGGGGCCCTATGGGATGCTGGGATTCGAACCCAGGTCAGCCCCGTGCAAGACAAACGCCCTCCCCGCTGTCCTATGGCTCCAGTCCCAATATCTGGTGTATTGGGACAAGATACTCACTTTGACATATTGGACTGGGGTATGTCCAGTTTCCAGAAGATTCACAGACGGTTCTGTTCACCCCGATCAGTTCACTTCCTTCGGAGCACGTGAAGGTGCAGGCAGAATTGGGGCTGAAGGTGGCCAGGGGGTGGCTACAGTCCATGGTCCCCAGCTCCGGAGCCCGTAGGGGTTCACACTGAGTGACTTCATTAAAACAGAAGTTGGGGGAGACGGAAAGTTGGTTAGCACAGGCGAGGTGCTTGCCTTGCATGCAGCCAACCCAGTTCAATCCCTGGCACCTCATATCATCCCCATGTGATCACTGAGTGCAAAGCCAGGAGTAAGCCCTGAGCACCCCAGGGGTAGCCCAAACCACCGTCCCCCCAAAAATGAAGAACTAAAGCAAGCCTCACTTTCTGAGCAGAGACCCGCTTTTTTTTTTCAACCCAGTGATGTTCAGGGGTTCCTCTGACTCTGCACTCAGGAATCACTCCTGGCAGTGCTCGGGGACCCTATGGGATGCTGGAGATTGAACCCGGGTTGGCTGTGTGCTAGGAAAACGCCCTCCCCGTGGTATCATTGCACCAGCCCTGTCGTGGTGGTTTTTTTTTTTTTTGCCTTTTGGGTCACACCCGGTGATGCTCAGGGGTTACTCCTGGTTCATGCACTCAGAAATTGCTCCTGGCGGTGCTCGGGGGACCATATGGGGTGCTGGGAATCGAACCTGTGTCGGTCATGTTGGCTGCGTGCAAGGCAAATGCCCTACCCGCTGTGCTATCACTCCAGCCCCTGTCGTGGTGTTTTTTTGGGTGGTGACACCAGACCACGTTCAGGGGTTCCTCCTGGCTCTGCACTCAGGAACCGCTCCTGGCGGTGCTCGGGGGACCCTATGGGATGCTGGGGATCGAACCCAGGTTGGCCATGTGCCAGGCCAATGCCCTCCCCGCTGTGCTATCGCACCAGCCCCCAAAGACCCACTCTTGACTAAAGGGCTTTGGCCAAAGCGGCTTTCCAGAACTCAATACAGTCCACATGGGCTTGGACATTTGCCACTTCTAGAAATGACCCCTGATGCTTGAAGCCGGGTTTACCCATGTTCCCATGAGTGTGGGCCTGACCGGAACGGGGAGGGTCCTGACGGAGATGTTGTTTTTTTTCCCTATGATTACCATTTTTATTGCAATGTGTGAAAACATATATTCACCTAAACTTCAGATGGCAAAGAAAGATTTGGAGACAAATCCTCAGCAAAATCAGGGCAAGTGTTTCAGAGATTTTAACACTCTGGGTGGAACTGTTTAAAGATTTCACCATCCGTTTTCTTATCTTTTCAGGAAAATCCTCTGGAGAAGTGACTTTATAGAGGCAAACATAAATGTTGGTTTCTAGGCTTTGGCTGATGGGCCAGTTCGGGGTTAGGGGGGTTGCCTTACATGTGGCGAACCAGATTCAATCCCCGGCACCAGAGGGTCCCTCAAGCATTACCAGATGCAGCAGAAGGTCCCCTGAGAGCCACGATTATGGACCCAGGGTCTCCTGAGCACTGGGGGTGGGGGGCCCTGGCAGTCCCTGGCACATCCAGGCAGAAACAACAGCCCAGACCAAGGCTCTCTCATTGAACCACTGGCCTACTTATACTGAATTTTGTGAGGGTCCCCAGAGATTTCCGGAGAATAACTTGAGACCCCGCAAAAATACTATATATAGTATATCACTGTATCTCTGTATCACTGTCATCCCACTGCTCATCGATCGACTCGAGCAGGCACCAGTAACGTCTCCATTCACCCCAACCCTGAGATTTCAGCAGCCTCTCCCTACTCGTCTTTCCCAACGCTGCCGTATTGGAGGCTCTTCAGGGTCAGGGGAATGAGACCCGCTATTGTGACTGTTTTTGGCATATCGAACGCGCCAAGGGAAACTTGCCAGGCCGTGTAGCCTGGCAAGGATACTCTCGGTAGCTTGCCGGGCTCTCCGAGAGGGACAAGAGATTATAAACAAGTATGTTAAAACCAAGCACATGTGTGCTGCTTTTACGTGCACACATGTGTTTGGTTTTAACATATAGTAGTGTATATCAATTCTTCCGCCCCTCTCAGAGAGCCCAGCGAGCTACCGAGAGTATCTTTTTTTTTTTTTTTTGCTTTTTGGGTCACACCTGGCGATGCACCGGGGTTCCTCCTGGTTCATGCACTCAGGAGTTACTCCTGGCGGTGCTCAGGGGATCATATGGGATGCTGGGAATCGAACCCGGGTCGGCCGCGTGCAAGGCAAACGCCCTACCCGCTGTGCTATCGCTCCAGCCCCCCCGAGAGTATCTTGCCCTCACGGCAACGCCTGTGGCAAGCTACCTGTGATGTATTCGAGATGCCAAACACAGTAACAAGTCTCACAATGTTACCGGGCCCGCTTGAGCAAATCGATGAACAACGGGAGGACAGTGTCATAAGTGTCATTGAATGTACATTGCACATATGGAATCATTCCTGTAGGTTATGAGATAGGAAGAGGAAGAAGGACTCACCAAACTGACATTGGGGACCGTGGTACCCCAGATCACAGTGGCACGTGATGTTGTTGAAGGTTTCCACACATGTTCCATGGCCGCTGCATGATCCCGGCTGACAAGACACTGGGATGGGGGTGGGGCAAAAAACCATCAGAGGGAAATTTCATATTTTAGACCTAGATGATGCGGTGGCTGAGGTGAATGTAATTGGCAGGACAGGCCAGTTTGTACCTTCACACCGTGTCTTACCTTCCCACGGATGCCCCGAATAGTCTCACAGCCATGAAGATTTGGTTTTAGAATCAATTGGTAATATGGGGCTGGAGTGATAGCACAGCGCAGAGGGCGTTTGCCTTGCATGTGGCCAACCCGGGTTCGATTCCCAGCATCTCATAGGGACCCCTGAGCACTGCCAGGAGTGATTCCTGAGTGCAGAGCCAGGAGGAACCCCTGAGCATTGCCGGGTATGACCCAAAATACAAAACAAAACAAAACAAAACAAAACAAAAAACCAATTAATCCTCCCAGGATGGGAGATGCATGCTGAAAGTAGACTCTAGACCAAACATGATTGCCACCCATTGCCTATTTTGCAAACCACAGCACCCAAAAGGAGAGAGAGAACAAAAGGGAATGCCCTGCCATAGAGGCGGGGTGGGATAGGGGGATGAGGGGTGGGAGGGATACTGGTATCCATGGTGGTGGGAAATGGGCACTGGTGGAGGGATGGGTATTCGATCATTGTATAATTGAAACCCAAGCACAAAAATTTGTAAGTCTACAACTGTACCTCATAATGTCTCACTAATAAAAATTTTAAAAAAACACAATCAATTGGTAATGATCTTTTTTCACGTTTGGGGGAAATAGTTTGGTCTACCACCAAAACTCTCAAAATTACTGATTCTAATTTTTTTTAATTTTTAAAAATTTTGTTGTTGTTGTTTTTAGTTGAATCACAGTGAGATATCCTGATTGGTCTTTTTTCAACTTTTAAAAAATTGTTGTAGGTGTTGGAGTGATAGTACAGCGAGTAGGGCGTTTGTCTTGCACAGGGCCAACCCGGGTTCGATTCCCAGCATCTCATAGGGTCCCCCGAGCACCGCCAGGAGTGATTCCTGAGTGCAGAGCCAGGAGTCAGCCCTGAGCATCGCCGAGTGTGACCCCAAAAGCCAAAAAAATAAATTGTTGTTTTTTAAAAATTGAATCACAGTGAGATCCGCAGTTGCAAAGCTGGTCATGATTGGATTTCAGTCATATAATATTCCAGTACCCATCCCTTCACCAGTGTACATTTCCCAGCACCAGTGTCCCCAGGTTCCCTCTTGAACCTCCTTTTTTATGCAGGCAATTTTCTCCTCCCCTTACTCTTTCTTTCTCTGTCTCTCTATGTCTCTCTCTCTCCTCTTGAGCATTATGGTTTGCAATACAAGTAACTGAAATATTATCAGGAATATCCCTCTACCTACTTCCAATACTCAGTTCTTGTTCAGAGTGACCATTTCCAACTACTATTGCCATACTGGGCTGGAGTGATAGCACAGCAGGTAGGGCGTTTGCCTTGCAATGTGGCCGACCTACTGACCCGAGTTCAATTCCTCCGCCCCTCTTGGAGAGCCCGCCAAGCTACCGAGAGTATCTCGCCCGCAAGGCAAAGCCTGGCAAGCTACCTGTGACGTATTCGATATGCCAGACACAGTAACAAGTGTCACAATGGAGACGTTACTGGGCCCACTCGAGCAAATCGATGAACAACGGGAGGACAGTGACAGTGACAGTGATTGCCATACTGGTTGACCAATGGCATTAGGAAGAAGTGAACGAAGAAAGACGGAGCCAGAAATAGAAGGGAATTGTTGGGTATTAACTTGGACGCCGCACTGAAAGTAGACTATGAATCAAACATGATGGCAGCTTAGTACCTATATTGCAAACCATAACACCCAAAGGGAGAGAGAGAGAGAGTAAAAGGGAATATGTTTGCCACAGAGGCAGGGTGGGGTGGGAAAGGGTGGCGGGAGGGATACTGGGAACATTGGTGGTGGAGAATGGGCACTGGTGGAGCGATGGGTGCTCGATCATTGTATGACTGAAATGTAACCGTGCAAGTTTGTACGTCTGTAACTGCATCTCACAGTGATTCATTAGAATTAAAAAATAAAAAACTTGGACACTGCGTGAGTCAGGTGGAAGGGGGCTAGAATTTGGGCCTCCCCAAAGCAACGGAACAGGAGAAGAAATCAGAAACTAAGCTGCCCCGGGCTGCTGGCAACTCCACAATCCGGGAGGCATCAGGGGGCTCTTGCTCCTTTTGCGTCTTCCTTACTTCATTTCAGTAACGAGACACCCCCCCCCTACACACACAAGTCCGCCCCCCTGCCCAATCAGTGCCCTAAGCTCAGGAAGCATGCCAAGACCTTGGCCAGCGGTTCCTGTGTTTTCTCTGCCCGCAGCCCAGGGTCTGGCTGTAGGCAGGGACTCACCCCGACAGGTTGGTGGCTGCGATGACCACTGTCCCCAGGGGCCGCAGGTAGTGGCCGTGGCCCCCCGGACTTCGGTCCCCTCGGAGCAGTTGAAGGTGCAGTGTGAACGGAAGTAGAAGTTGCCCAGGGGGTGGTCACAGGTCATAGTCCCCATCTCCGGCGCCTCCAAGGCCTGGCACTGAACCACTTCAAAAAAAAAGAAAGAAAGAGTTGGGGCTGGAGCGACAGCACAGCGGGGAGGGCGTTTGCCTTGCACACGGCCGACCAGGGTTCGATTCCCAGCATCCCATAGGGTCCCCCGAGCACCGCCAGGAGTGATCCCTGAGTGCAGAGCCAGGAAGAATCCCTGAGCATCGCTGGGTGTGACCCAAAAGGGAGAAAAAAAAGAGAGGGTGTTGGAGTGGGGTGGGAGGGCTGGGGTGCCCCCACTGGACACCCTGAAGCAGGGGAAGTTGCTTTAGCGGCTCTCTAGAGAACTGGCTAGAGTTGGGAGCTGGGGGTTCAAGCAATAGCACAGCGGGGAGGGCGTTTGCCTGGCACGCGGCCAACCCGGGTTCGATTCCCAGCATCCCAGAGGGTCCCCAGAGGAGGAATTCCTGAGTGCAGAGCCAGGAGGGACCCCTGTGCATCGCCGGGTGTGACTCAAAAAGATTAAATAAATAAATAAATAAATAAAGTTGGGAACCGGGGGCATTAAACGCTTCCACCAAAATGTGGGTTCACTGAGCCTGGCTCCCAGGAATCCCCGTGACATCCCAGCCGGCAGGTTCCCTGGCGTTGTCTGGGGAGAGGGAGCTTAAATCTATCCAGGTTTGCATGGGACGCATTAATTCCACTGGGAAATAACTCAACACGCGTAACTGAGCTCCCCAGAGTCGGAGAAGGAAGTATGGAATTCCACACAGGGGAGAAAGTTTTCTTGGCCACATGAAAAGTAGAGTTTTTTGTTGGTTTTTTTTTTTTTTTACTTACACCCAGGTGTGCGGGACCCAGGGCTGAGATCTCCAAGCCTGCTCGGATCGGGACAGCTGGGCCTCCTCCACCCAGACCCCCCATCTTCCAGTAGCTAGACAGTTACACCCACCAACTGCCCCCGGCGCCATGTAATCTCACTCATCAACAGCCAAGATCCAAAGACTACAAAACCAAGCTCCTGGAAGCGACCTCTTATTGTCTAGTTCTCACTCAGAGAACCCGGCAGGCTACTGAGAGTATCCTGCCCACCCATATGCCTACTGGGAACACCTGGAAAGGTGGTTAGAGGCTGCCCCAAAAGCCTCCATCCCTCTCGGAGAGCCCAGCAAGCTACTGAGAGTATTCCGCCCACACGGCAGAGCCCGGCAAGCTACCCATGGCATACTCGATATGCCAAAAACAGTAACAGTGATGGTCCTCATTCCCCTGACTCTGAAAGAGCCTCGAATATGTCATCGGGCTACACTGGCACGTGACAGGCACGTGACAGGGACGAATGGAGATGTTACTGGTGCCTGCTCGAGCAAATCGATGTACAACGGGAAGACAGTGACAGTGACAGTGACTTACACCCAGTGATGTTCATACTCCTGGCGGTGTTCAGGGAACCCTATAGGATGCTGGGAATCGAACCCGGGTCGGCCGTGTGCAAGGCCAACGCCCTCCCCACTGTGCTATTGCTCCAGCCCCAGAAAATAGAGGCTTTAGGAAGCCTGTCTATGTTAGCCGCAGAACTTGGGTGCTTCTGAGCTGACAACCCTCTCCCTCCCAGTTCTGAGCAGGGTTGAGTTGCAAGATCCCAGCGCATGAGGAAACCTTGACGGAAAGTCTTGGCATTGGGCAAGCTCGGCCTTCCGGTGGCTACTTCCCATTTCTCAGAATGGCTTATCAGTCTGTGCCCCCAACTCCAAAAGATGCAATGACCTGAGCACCCAGAGATAGCACAGGGACCAAGGCGCTTGCCTGGTACACAGCTGACACAGTTCAATGCACGGCACCAGCCCAAGTTACCACCAAGCCTGGCCTCCTAAGCCAGGCGAATCCCCTCCCACACCCAAGTCGAATCCTGGAGCTTGTATCAGGGGCCGGAGTGATAGCACAGCAGGGAGGGCGTTGGCCTTGCACGCGGCCAACCCAGGTTCGATTCCCAGCATCCCATAGGGTCCCCCGAGCACCGCCAGGAGTAATTCCTGAGTGCAGAGCCAGGAGGAACCCCTGAGCATTGCCGGGTATAACCCAAAAGCAAAAAAAAAAAAAAGAGGAAATGAAGAAGGAGCAGTGACTCACCAAACTGACATTCGGGACCGTGGTACCCTGAGTCACAGTGGCACGTGTAATTGTTGATGGCCTCCACGCATTCTCCACGGCTGCTGCATAACCCCTCCTGGCAAGACGCTGGGGTGGGAAGAGGCAGAAAAACCATCAGCAGGGAATTCCTCGGGGAAGGACGGTTTGCGTTTCACGGTTGAGACTCAGTTAACAAGCGGGGAGAGTTGTGTACATTTGCACCATTTCTATGGCATGAAATCCTATTCCAAAAACTCTCAAAATAACGGGGCTGAGAGATAGGGCCGTGGGGGGAATGTTTGCCCAGCACGAGTCTGATCCAGGCTCAAGCCCGCGGAATGATCCCTGAGCAGGGTCAAGGGTGCAGACAAAGAAACAAAACTAAAACCGACAAATGACTGTTTATTTTATTTTATTTTATTTTATTTTGCTTTTTGGGTCACACCTGATGATGCAAAGGAGTTACTCCTAGCTCTACACTCGGGAATCACTCCTGGCAGTGCTCGGGGGACCCTATGGGATGCTGGGAATCGAACCCAGCTTGGCCGCGTGCCAGGCAGACACCCTTACCCACTGCGCTATTGTTCGTTCCAGCACCATGACTGATTTTTAGAGAGTTAGTGGGCTAGATGGTGACCAGAGGCTTGGCAAACATTTACTTTCTTTCCTTCCTTCCTTCCCTTTCTTTCCTCCTTCCTTCCTTCCTTCCTTCCTTCCTTCCTTCCTTCCTTCCTTTCTTCCTTCCCTCCTTCCTTCCTTCCTCCCTTCGTTTGCTTTTTGGGTCACACCCGACGATTCTCAGGGCTCACTCCTGGCTCTGCACTCAGGAATCACTCCTGACGGGGCTCACGCAGCCGACCCGGGTTCGATTCCCAGCATCCCATAGAGTCCCCCAAGCACCGCCAAGCGTAATTCCTGAGTGCAGAGCCAGGAGGAACCCCTGTGCATCGCCGGGTGTGACCCAAAAAGAAAAAAAAATTAAATTTATCATTCAAAACCAAATGAGAAGCAAAATCATCTAAGAGCCTCCATGAGCAGAGGGTCTGGCTTCGAAACAATGTTGGGGCTCAACATGGCGTGGGGTTACACTCACAGAAAACTAGACTGTTCTGGAAAGGACCAGAGTATTCTAGAACGTTCTGGAAAAAAACTAGATTTTTTTTTTTAGAACATTCTAGCAACATAGCCCTTGCCCTAGTCTTCCCTTCCCTCGGGGGCCCTCCCCAGGGTGCCTACCTGTGTAGCAGAGGGCCACCTTCTTCTTGTGACAGCCGTCATCATTCCATTTGCCCGAGTCTTTCTCCCTCTTGATGTAGATCTCCACACAGTCCTCATTCAGCGTCTTGCCGTTGGGCTCCCCTTGGCCCCAGTTCTCGGCTTCTGGCGTGAGGGACTTGTTGGTGCCCACCCACATCCAGACATCCCCCACCTTCCGGATCCCGATCCAGTAGTAGTTTCTGTGGCGGGGCAGGTGTTCGTTCAGGTACTCAATCTCCTCCTTGTTCTGGATAGCCACCAGATCCGTGTAGTTCTTTTGGCAGAACTTCCGGGCCTCGGCCCAGTTCATGGGCTTCTCAGAATAATGGTAAGTCCAGCCCTCGGCCCCGTGCTGGGCAAGGAAATCTGAAAGACAGGGGCACGTATGACAGAGCCTGGCAGTACTAGCCAGGACCCCACACAGGTTGTGTCTACACTTGGGGAGGGGAACTGCAGGCATGGAGGATGCGGTGACTCTAACAGCCTCACACTGAGTTCTGGCAGCTGTGTTTGTTCGTTTGAGCCGTAGCTGACTCAGACATCCCTCCTGGCGATGGTCATGGGGGAAACGGACAGTGAGCCAGAATTCAAAGCAGGGACGCAGTTAACTCTAGGCAAGAGCCTTCCTTAGCCCCTGGACTAGCATTCCGGCCGTATGTGCAGTTATCTTTTTTTTTAAAAGATGTTTTCTTTTTTAAAATTTTTATTTTTTTATTGAATCAGAGCCCGGCAAGCTACCGAGAGTATTCGATATGCCAAACACAGTAACAACAAAGTCTCCAATGGAGACGTTACTGGGCCCGCTCGAGCAAATCGACGATCAACGGGAGGGCCTTTACCTTTACCTTTACCTTTACCTATTGAATCACTATGGGATACAGTTACAAAGCTTTCATGTTTGAGTTTCAGTCATACAATGAACACCCATCCCTCCACCAGTGCACATTTCCCACCACCAATGTCCCCAGTATCCCCCCACCCACCCTCCCCCTGCCTCCATGGCAGACAATCTCCCCCAGACTCTCTCTCGACTTTTGGGCAATACAGATACTGAAAGGCCGTCATGTTTGGTGCTTTTTCTACTTTCAGCACACATCTCCCATCCCAAGCGACCCCTCCATCCATCACTGACTCAGTGACCCCTTCTCCATCCCAGCTGCCTTCTCCCCCAGCTCATGAGGCAGGCTGCCAGCCATGGAGCAATCCTCCTGGCCCTTGTCTCTACTACTGTCCTTGGGTGTCCGTCTCATATTACGTTACTTTACATTCCACAAATGACTGCAGTTATTCTATGTCTATCCCTCTCTCTGACTCATTTCACTTAGCATGACACTCTCCATGCCCATCCACTTAGAAGCAAATTTCATGACTTTCATCTTTCTTAACAGCTGCATAGTATTCCATTGTGCAGATGTACCAAAGTTTCTTTAACCAGCTGTCTGTTCTCGAGCACTCGAGTTGTTTCCAGATTCTGGCTATTGTGAACAGTGCTGCAGTGAACATACAGGTGCAGGTGTCATTATGTGCAGCTTTTAAGGAACCTGGACCCTGTCTTGCTCCCTTCGATCTCCATCAGACATGCCTTTCTTCACTTTGGTGGTTTTCTAGATTTATTTTCAGAAAACAAAATTTTTCCAAGGGGCTGGAGCAGTAGCACAGCGGGTAGGGCGTTTGCCTTGCACACGGCCGACCTAGGTTCGATTCTCGGCATCCCATAGGGTCCCCTGAGCACCACCAGGAGTAATTCCTGAGTGCAGAGCCAGGAGTAACCCCTATGCAATGCCGGGTGTGACCCAAACAGAAAAACACATTTTTTTTTTCAAAATTCAGTCAAGATATATTGCACCAATATTTTTTTTTGCAATTGGGTATTTTTTTTTTTTTCTGGTCATGGTCACGGTCGTCCCGTTGTTCATCGATTTGCTCGAGCGGGCCCAGTAACGTCTCCATCATGAGACTTGTTGTTACTGTGTTTGGCTCTTAATTTGGTTCTTTGCTTTATGGTGCTCATCTCATGCTATTCTTTTTTTTTTTTTTTTTTTTTTTGCTTTTTGGGTCACACCTGGCAATGCACAGGGGTTCCTCCTGGCTCTGCACTCAGGAATCACTCCTGGTGGTGCTCGGGGAACCCTATGGGACGCTGGGAATTGAATTTGAGTTGGGGAATTGAATTTGAGTTGGCCGCGTGCAAGGCAAACCCCCTCCCCACTACAAAAGAAATGATCTCGCATCTGTTTATGAAGCAGGCTTGAGTGGTGGTGGGAAAATTCGAAATAATGGTGGGAAGGTGTCATGGTAGTGGGGCTGGTGTTGGAATAGTGACTGCGATCCATTACTGTGAACAGCTTGATGCAAATAAAATTTAAAAAAGGAAAAAAAAAGAAAAAGCGCTCATCAATACACAAACATTCAAATAGGCAAACGGGACCCACCAGAGAACAGCACCATCCACGCCCACAGTTTGAAAACATCCCATACGACGTGCTCGGGGCCCTGGTATCTCCATGGCAACAGCTGCAATATAAAACAAGGACTTTAGACTCACTTTTCAGTCAGAGAGAGAGAGAGAGAGAGAGAGAGAGAGAGAGAGAGAGAGAGCGCCCTTGTGATGTATCTCCAGTCCACAGCCTTGAGATTTTCTTTTGGTTTGTTTTTGACCAACACCCAGCAGTTCTCAGGGCTGACTCCTGGCTCTGTGCTCAAGGCTCACTCCTAGCTCTGTGCTTAGAGCTGACTCCCAGCTCTGTGCTCAGGGCTCACTCGTGGCTCTGTGCTCAGGGCTCACTCCTTGCTCTGTGCTCAGGGCTGACTCTTTTTTCTTTTTTTTAATCCTTTTTTAAATTTATTTATTTATTTTCTTTTTTGGGTCACACCTGGTGATGCACAGGGGTTACAGCTGGCTCTGCACTAAGGAGTTACTCTTGGTGGTGCTCAGAGGACCATATGGGATGTTGGGAATCGAACCCGGGTCGGCCTCGTGCAAGGCAAATGCCCACAGGGCTGACTCTTGGCTCTGTGCTCAGGGCTCACTCCTGGCTCTGTGCTTAGGGCTAACTCCCGGCTCTGCTCAGGGCTGACTCCTGATTCTGTGATCAGGGCTGACTCTTGACTCTGTGCTCAGGGCTCACTCCTTGCTCTGTGCTCAGAGCTCAATCCTGGCTCTGTGCTCAGGGCTGACTCCTGGCTCTCTGCTCAGGGCTCCTGATTCTGTGCTCAGGGTTGACTCCCAGCTCTGTGCTCAGGGCTCACTCCCGGCTCTGTGCTCAGGGCTCACACTTGGCTCTCTGCTCAGGGCTGACTCTAGGCTCTGTGCTCAGGGCTGACTCCTGCTTCTGTGCTCAGGGTTGACTTCTGGCTCTGCACCCAGGGATCACCCCAGGAAGAGCTCAGAGGACCCTAAGAGATGCCGGGGATCAAACCCAGGTCAGCCACGTGCAAGGTAAGTGCGTTACCTGCAGTACTGTCAGCCAAGAGCCCTTGACAACCTGGTGGAGCAACCTTTAATTCAGTTCCTCCAATTCAACCCAAAAGGGCCTCCTACCCCCCTGTCCCGGCTCTTGCTTTGCATCCTCGGGTGAGATTTGAGGCTTCGATGTGCCTCCAAGCAGACGCCTGGGTTTCTTGCTCCTCACTAATTCTCAAGCTGCAGGTGTGGTGGTTCTGACATTTGCCTCGTGTCCTGGAGGAACTGTGGAGCTGATGAGGGGTGGGCGCGGATTGAAACACGCTCCTTGGGGCTGGAGAGATAGCACAGCAGGGAGGGCATTTGCCTTGCACGCACCCGAACCGGGTTCAATTCCCAGCATCCCATAGGGTCCCCTGAGCACCGCCAGGAGTGACTGCTGAGTGCAGAGCCAGGAGGAACCCCTGAGCGTCTCTGGGTGGGACCCAAAAAAGAAAAACAAAACAAAACAAAACAAAAAACACGCTCCTTGGTGGGGCTGGAGAGAGAGTTCAGGGTGCTTGTGGGAGGACTCTGTTCAGATCCCTCCACATCGGCTATGGCCCCCTGAGCCTCGGAGTGTGTCCTTGCTTCTAAAAGAGGAAGTTTAGGGGCTGTTTTTAACTAGAGAGCAAAAAAAAAAATTTTTTTTTTTGGCTTTTTGAGTTGCACAGTGATTCCTGGTTCTGCACTCAGGAATCACTCCTGGTGGTGCTTGGGGGACCCTATGGGATGCTGGGAATCGAACCCGGGTCAGCCCTGTGCAAGTCAAACGCCCTCCCTGCTGTGCCCTGCAATATTTTTTTTCTTTTTTTCATTTTGTTCGGTTTTGTTTTGTTTTGGTGTTTGGGCCATGCCTTGCAATGCTCAGGAATTACTTCTTAGTGATTCCTGCATTCAGGAATCACTCCTGGCGGTTCTCGGGGGACCCTCTGGGATGCCCGGGCTGGAAACCAGGTGGGCTGCGTGCCAGGCAAATTCTCTCCCTGCTGCTATTTCCCTTAGCTCTGGCCCCAAGTGCATTTCCTTAGCACGGCTCTCTCTCCTGGCTTAGAAGCTTCTAGAAATGCTCCCGGTGTCCAGGCCAAAAGGGCCTCCTCAGAGCAGTTACTTCTCTGGAGGCCTCCTCAGAGACAGCCTTGGGGCGAGATCAGGACCCACCACCCCCTGGGCCTCCTTTAAGGCCCCTGTGTGCAAATCCATGGGGCCTGGAGCGATAGCACAGCGAGGAGGTGGTTTGACTTGCACGCGGCCGACCTGGGTTCGATCCCTGGCATCCCATAGGGTCCCCCGAGCACTGCCAGGAGTGATTCCTGAGTGCAGAGCCAGGAGGGACCCCTGAGCATCGTCAGGTGTAGCCTCCAAAAAAACAAACAATAAACAGAGTCAAAGATTTCTTTCTTGAGCACAGAGATAGCACATTGGTAAGGCACTTGCCTTGCATGCAGCCGACCCAGGTTCAATTCCCAGCATCCCATAGGGTCCCCTGAGCACCGCCAGGAGTAACTCCTGAGTGCAGAGCCAGGAGTAACCCCCGTGCATTGCCGGGTGTGACCCCCCCCAAAAAAAAAATCAAACTCCTGATGAGCTGGGCCTCCTTGCTCCTGGCCACTCCCGCCCCTGTCCAGCTGCCCGGCGACTCTCACCATGTCTGCCTTTTCCTCCAGGCTCTGTTCTCTCCGCGGGGGTCCCTGCAGATGCTTTTGCTTCAGTGAACCTGCAGGGACAACAGAGGAAGAGGAAACCGTCATGACAACAAAAAGTGTGTGGTTTCCGGTGAGCTTTCAAATCTGGGCTGGTCCCTCCAATTGCTCCCTTCTCCTTCCCTCCCCCAAAACAAGGAGCACTGGTCAAAGAGCTCAGAAATGAACCGTGTCCTCGAACCCGAGCTCATCCCAGCAGCGAAGGGGTCACCCGGAGACGTGTGTGTTCCAGGCAGTAGGTAGGGAGGGGATTTGGTCTCTTGGTCCCCGTGGGTCTGAGCTTGTTCCCCGCCAGGCCTGGGTTCCAGAGGCTCAGAACAGGGAAGATGCATCTTCTTCAGGGGAGGGATGAAGAATGCTGACTCTAATCCTGGACCATATCTAATTGTTCTCGAATCCTGGCGTCGGGAACAGCCATATAAAGGTTTGTTGATGTGTCTGAGCAACTAGGTTTGAGATGGGCAAAGACTATGACAGAAGGACTTAGCTTTGTTGCCCATAAATGATGTGTTTTGGGGATAGAGCCGGAGATGCTCGGGGTTGACACCTGACTCTGCACTCAAGGATCACTCCTGGCAGTGCTCGGGGGACCCTATGGGATGCCGGGGATCGAACCCAGGTCAGCTGCATGCAAAGCAAGTGCCCTATCCATTGCTCTATTTCTCCTGCCTTTATTATTATTATTATTATTATTATTATTATTATTATCATTTTGCTTTTTGGGTCACACCCAGCAATGCTCATGGGTCACTCCTGTCTCTGCACTCAGGAATTACTCCTGGCAGTGCTTGGGGGACCATATGGGATGCTGGGAATCGAACCTGTGTCAGCTGCGTGCAAGACCAACGCCCTACCCGCTGTGCTGTAATTCCAGCCCCCCTTTTATTATTTCTTTTCTAATGTAGGTGTACTGCTATTTATTCAGTTATTGAGTAGCTGATTGAATTGGACATGAAGTCCACATTACTTTTTTTTATTCCGTATGCTAATTTTATTTGATTATTTGATTATTCTTGTTTTTTGATCATCGTGAGATACAGTTACAAAGCTTTCCTGTTTGAGTTTCACTCATACAATGATGGAACGTCCTTCCCTTCACCAGTGCACATTGTCCACCACCAAGGTCCCCAGTATGCCCCCTAATCCCACCCCTCCCCCTGCCTCTATGACAATCTCCCGATACTCTCTTGTTATATTGCTTGTTATGAATAGAATAAGATGTCACACAGTGCTCCTGGAATTCTACAATTTTATTTTATTTTTTCAGCTTTTTTTTTCTTTTTGGGTCACCCCCGGTGATGCACAGGGGTTCCTCCTGGCTCTGCACTCAGGAATTACTCCTGCCGGTGCTCCGGGGACCCTATGGGATGCTGGGAATAGAACCCCGATAGGCCATGTGCAAGGCAGATGCCCTAATCGCTGTGCTATCGCTCCAGCCCCAATTCTACAATTTTAGATCATTAGGGTCTGGAGAAATATCTGCAGCGGAACTGTTCGGTTTGGGGATTCTTTTGTGTGTCTCTGGATCATGGCTGTTAGTGTTGGGATCGGGAGTTCCCTAGCCCTGGGAGGCGCGGAGAGACCAGATAGACACAATTCCTGCAGGAGTAAAAACGGGGTTTATTTAGACCAGCATGCTGGGGCTCCGCAGCATACCCCAAAAACGGGCAGTGGCTGAGAGCCCCGAACTTCTTCAAAGGGGATCTTATATAGGCCTTCACTGGCCGTTACAGCAAAGCCCGCGCATTTCATAGCCAATAGATTTGTAACAACATACACTTTCTTAACCAATCCATTTAAAAGTACCTCACTCCTTAGCCTATAGATTCAAAGATCAGCATTTACGTACATCATTGTCAGCACAAGCAAGGTTATAGCTGGAATCATTAAGCCTTAGGTAATCTCCCTTGACCATCCTCGTTTTGAGTTACCCAAGTCTGCAGGGTGCTTTAGTGAGACAATACACTCCAGGAAAGGGCAATTTCCCCCAACCACCCGCATCCTGAGTTATCCTTTACTCAAATCTGCAGGGTGCTTTACTGAGACAATACATTTCAGGGACAGTAAATCACTTTCCAAGTCCCCTCTCCCCCAGGTGCAAAGCAGCCAAGCAGTTTTACAGAAAGCAATGTTGCAAGTTAGCTAAAGTACACAAAAATTTGATGCCCTAATATGGATTCTTTCATTAGGAGCTTAAGTAACAGCCAGCCCGGAGGCAGTTGGTGGGTGTCACCTCCAGGGTCCCATGGGGATGGGGTGGGGGGGATGAGAGGGACCTGCCCATCCTCTATCTCTTGAAACCTGAACCTGCCCACCTGTACTTCTCACTGAATTCTGAAAGTTGGCAGCCACTGGGGTTTTTAGGGGGCAGGTGGGACGACGCCCGCCCCCATCTGAGGCGCCCCAGTGAAGTCAGCCTGGCTTTAAAGTCTGGAGGAATCTCCCCAGCAAGCTGTTCAGGTTGGAGATTCTTTTGTGTGTCTTTGGATCATGGTCATTAAGGATGCTCTGACCTTTAAATGGGAGATGCGTGCTGGAAGCGGACTATGGACCAAACATGATGGCCTCTTAGTATCTGTATTGCAAACCATCACACCCAAAAGGAGAGGGAGAGGGAGAGGAAAGGTGCCTGTCACAGAGGCAGGGGGTGGAGGGATGGGGTAGGGGTGGTGGGAGGGATTCTGGGGACATTGGTGGTGGAGAATGGGCACTGGTAGAGGGATGGGAGTTCAATCATTGTATGATTGAAATGTAATCATGAAAGATTCTAGGTCTGTAACTGTGTCTCTTGATGATTCAATCGAAAAATGTTGACGATTTTGACACAGTTTAGCGATATAAGGTCCCAGATACGCATAAATCACACTCATGCCCAGCACTAAATATAAACATGTTTATTATTAACCCTGTATAGTGCCCTGTCAAATACAGTGGATGACAGAGCTTAAATAAATACTTTACAAAATGATAAAATAGTTTAAATTCTCCTTTTAAATATTTTATACAATCCATACAACAGTCATCAAATCCAAACACAGACCACATTTAGATTCCACACAGATATTTCCAACACGGTATATATAAATATGTACAACCCTTGATGAATCAGCTCAGAGAAATATTTCTCCTGGACACAGTACATAGCAAAATTGCCCTCATTGTTTTTTTTCCCCCCCTCTGGTGGTGATTTCCCAGAGTTGTTTTGTCTTTATAAGTGCCCCTTTGATCCTGGTCATGCTTTTTCTGTTTGCTCCAAGCTGGGCTTTTGCTGCTATGTCGTCAGCAATTTTCTTTGAATTTTCCTTCTTCCGTAAGTACTAAGTTAAGAAGAAGGTAGCAAATTGAATTCTCACAACTTGGGAAGTCACAGCAGCCTGGTCCCCGGTTTCCTGAGCATTTGTCTCTGGTAATCCTCAGCCAGGAACCAGAGATTCCTTAGATTTTTTTAAGCTCCCTCATAAATAAATATAAATATTTGCTTTATGGGCTTTCCTTCACTTTCAGGGTATATGGACACAAAAGAAAACTCTCAAGACTTGATTATGAGGCAGCATTATTTTAAAAAAATATTCACTGCATGTACTATTCTCCTAGTGACTCCTGGCACTATTTTTTTTTTTTGCTTTTTGGGCCACACCCAGCGATGCTCAGGGGTTCCTCCTGGCTCTGCACTCAGGAATCACTCCTGGCGGTGCTCAGAGGACCACATGGGATGCTGGGAATCGAACCCGGGTTGGCCATGTGCAAGGCAAACGCCCTCCCCGCTGTGCTATCTCTCCAGCCCCCCCGACATGTTTTTAAACCTCATCACACACAAGAATTTCATGTGGCTCGATCACATCCAACAAAAACCCCTCCTTCCTCACACACGTTTCAACAAAGACAATCATAAAACTGTCCCTTCACCGACCCACTCGCCAAACCTGAACATCTGGCGCCCTGGATAGTTTTCATCTTGGAAACCATCTTCAGAAAAAAATAGGATGGACCCACCACTAGGGGTGATTCTCCTGGTACTTCTCATATTATTGAAATCAACGGTCATAAGACATTTGTGACTTTCCACTGACTGGTGATCTATGTAGAGGTCAGTGTTTGCTACCCTCCGTGTGTGTGTGTGTGTGTGTGTGTGTGTGTGTGTGTGTGTGTGTGTGTGTGTGGACAGAACGGGAGAACATAAATTTACTACAAATACAACATACAAATTGCTCGTCAAGAAAGAGGTGACCATGTGGGACAAATAATGCCCCCTGTCATGGTTCTCCCTTCTACACATTGTAAAATCTTTTGCACTAAGGGCAGTTGGCAGCTATTTTCGGGCAAGTCAGAGGAAGTCAGGATTTTCAGGTTTTTTTCAGACGAATCCTGAAAAGCACGGTATCCCACAGGGATCAAAGAAGACAGGGATCAAAGAAGGAGCCCTCACAGGGGGTGGAACTGAGAGTTGCAGCATGCAGCCCCAGTCACTGCATTTTCAAGTGAGTCATCAAATACCTCCCTGGTGCATGCAGTTTCCTTGAAACTGCTATCCCGATTTTCTCCTCCCCCCAGCACAACTGGGATGAGAGAGAGAGAGAGAGAGAGAGAGAGAGAGAGAGAGAGAGAGAGACAGAGACAGAGAGAGACAGAGAGAGACAGAGAGAGAGACCGAGAGACCATAGCTGGAAGATTCCAGCTTCATTTCTTCATTTCTTCATTTCTTCCAGTTTGTCTGGACAAGACGCATCTTCCCTGCCCTTTCTCATGTAACAGGAAAGGAAACGGCAGTGCTGGGGTCTCAGCAGTGGCTGGCTGGTCCCCTGGATGTTGATCTGGGGCAGCCTTGTTGGAGGTCCTGCGGGGCAGGACAGCTGCTTTGCCTTGGAGGCCAGGAGCGTGGTGGGTTTCTGGACCTGTGAAGAGGAAGACATGAGGTAAGAGAACATCAACCCTTCTTCCAGCTGGCCAGGTCGCCAGAGCAAAGTGCTATTTTTCTGCTTTTCTGTCACACTCAGTGGTGCTCAGAGCTCACTCCCAGTGAACTTGGGGGACCATATTTTGTGCCAGGAATCTAGCTGAAGGGCTCACTCCACACCCATCATTATCCACCTTCATAAATTAAGTCACTTGAGGGGGCTGGAGCAATAGCACAACGGGGAAGGCATTTGCGTTGTAAGCGGCCGACCCGGGTTCGATTCTCAGCATCCCAAAGGGTCCCCCCAGCACCGCCAGGAGTGATTCCTGAGTGCAGAGCCAGGAGCAACCCCTGTGCATTGCCGGGTGTGACCCCCCCCAAAAATTAAGTCACTGACTCAATTCCGGGTCCTTGCCCCTTCTCTCTCCTTCCACAACAAAATGAACCACTTTCCATAAAACTCAGCATGGGAACCAGAGCGATAGTCTAGTGGGGAGTGCATCTGCCTTGCATGTGGCCGACCCGGGGTTCAGTTCCCAGCATCCCACAGGGTCCCCCAAGCACCGCCAGGAGTGATTCCTGAGTGCAGAGCCAGGAGTCAGCCCTGAGCATCGCCGGGTGAGACCCAAAAAGCAAAACCAAAACAAAACATAGCACGATCTACACCCTGCCCTCCTCAAGCCTGCAGTTGGCAGAGTTCCTGGAGCAAGAACCCGAGAGACAGACCATCTTCCCCAGAAAGCTGACGTATCGCTCAATTCCTACCTGATTAAATCAACTCCGAGGCCATCTGGTAGGACCCATCTGATTCCAGGCTCTGGCAACTGCTGTGGGAACAGAACCAGGGGTAAGTCAAGGGCTGGTCACCTCACACCAAGCAAAGGGTCGGCATAGATGGGGCATCGGGTGCTTTGAGGGAGAACTCAGCTTACCTGGCGGGCACGAATTTCTTGGCTGCAAGAGAAAGAAAAAATGTCAATACGGGCCAGATTGGGGCTGGAGCGATAGCACAGCCGGGTAGGGCGTTTGCCTTGCACGCAGCCCACCCAGGTTCGATTCCCAGAATCCCATGGGGTCTCCCAAGCACCGCTAGGAGTAATTCCTGAGTGCATGAGCCAGGAGTAACCCCTGAGCATCGCCGGGTGTGACAACCCCCCCCCAAAAAAAACCATGGGCAGATCACATTAGCAGAACTCACGCAGTTCAGAAGCAAATCAGCTTCAACCAACGCCTTTAGGGGGTTGGGGCCCCCCATAATGTTCAGAGCACAAATGCAGTTGGCCTTGGGACGACCATGCTCTGAGGTATCCCTCCCCAAGGGCCCTGCAGCCCCCCAAGGCATGCATGTCTCAACAGGGTCAACCCCCCCCCCCCAGATGTGCCTTGGTGTTTTTCATGAGTTTTTCAAAAACACTATGACATTTTTCTAGTTTATCAAAACTTGTAACCAAAACCTTCCATAACGGGCAACATGCGGATGTCAGTGTGACCAGCGCCCCCTGCAGCCGGGGAATGGAATTACCAACTAAAAATCCCATGTCAGGGGCTGGAGCCATCGCACAGTGGTGAAGGCATTTTCCTTGCACAAGGCCCACCCGGGTTCGATTCGCAGCATCCCATAGGGTCCCCCGAGCACCTCCAGGAGTAATTCCTGAGTGCACAGCCAGGAGGAACCCCTGAGCATCGCCGGGTGTGACCCCAAAAAGCAAAATTAATTAATTAATTAATTAAAATAAAAATCCCATGTGTATTTCAGGAAACTCCATCCTTGGGTGGGGCAGGAGAAACTCTCTCCTTCATTTCCTGCTTCCCGACCAATTCTGAGTCGCTCTGGAGCCAACAAACACGAATGACCGTTGGCATGCCCGAATTACGACCGCTCATACCTGCAGCGGTGGTGGGGTGTGTGTGTGTGTGTGTGTGTGTGTGTGTGGTGTGTGGGAAGCCCACGGTTTTCATAAACGGTTTTGGGGTGCCTTTAGGGGGTCTCACCTTTCTTGCGGAGACGCTTCAGAAGCCACAGGAGAAATGATGACCCGCCCAGGAGGGACGTTCCCGCTGCAGACAGTCCTACGGCCAGGGGTGTGCTGGAAACCTCCAGCGCTGAGGAAGCAAAGAGGAGAGAAACGGTCAGGTTAGGGGGGCTCTGGGGGTACCTGTCCTGCCCACTGCAAACTGTCCCATGCCTATGGATCACCGGAAGCAGGAACGCCTGGAAGAGCCTCATCTTATTATTATTTTTTTTTTCTTTTTGCGTCACACTCGGCAATGCACAGGGGTTACTCCTGGCTGTGCTCGGGGGACCCTATGGGGTGCTGGGAATCGAACCCGGGTCGGCCGTGTGCAAGGCAAATCCCTCCCCACTGTGCTATCGCTCCAGCCCCAAGAGAGCCTCATCTTAGAGAGCTCGGAGCTCTCTCTTCTTCCTCCTAAGCAGGCAGGAGTTTCAGCCTTGGTTCCCGTGATACTGTGATCAGAATTCCAGTTCTTTTTTTGGGGGGGGTCCCACCTGGCAATGCACAGGGGTTCCTCCTGGCTCTGCACTCAGGAATCACTCCTGGCGGTGCCCAGAGAGAGTGTGTGTGTGTGTGTGTGTGTGTGTGTGTGTGTGTGTGTGTCCCTATGGAATGCTGGGAATTGAACCCGTGTCAATTTTTTTTTTTTTTGCCAGGCAAACACCCTTCATGCTATGCTATCGCTCCGGCCGGCCCCAGAATTCCAATTCTCTTCCTTCACCTTATCTTTTCCGTTTGCTTTTTGGGGGGGCCCACACCTGGCAGTGTTCAGAGCTCAGTGCTCAGGGATCTCCCTCCTGCTGGAGTTCCTATGGGTGCCAGGCAAGGCCAGCACCCTCCCCTCTGGATATCTGCAGGGTCCAGCACCTGATTCTCCTCTGTCCCCTGCAACCCTGTAGCACCCGCTCGGACGTTCCTACATCGCCCAAAGCAGAAATTCCCCTCTGCATGCAGTTAACCCCCTCTCTCCCCTCTCTCCTCGCCTCCCCTTCATTTACCTTCACAGGTAGGGACCGTCCCTGACCACTGCCCCCGGGCCCCGCAGGTCAGCACGGCCGAGCCATTAAGCATCCAGCCCTCGGGACACGTGAAGTTGCAGGCAGTGCCCGGCACGGGGTCCCCGTTGCAGCTGGCGTCCACCTTCCCAGGAACATGCAGGCTGGGACACTGCACAGCTGGAGAAGAGAGAAGAGGGAGGTGGAGGTGAACCCTGACCGCCCCTACGTCCACCTGCATGCAGGGGCTCCAGGCTGGGCCGGGGCGGGCTCACGGGCTTACCTTGGCAGGAGGGGACGGCGTGAGACCACTGGCCCTGGGCACTGCAACTCAGCTGGGAGGCGCCCAGAAGCGTCAGGCCTTCCTGGCAGCTGAAGGTGCAAAGGGTCCCGGAGGTGAATTCGCCGGCAGCGGCGTGGGAGCAGGTGACGGCGCCCCCCGGAGGCAGGTGGACGGTACTGCACTTTGTAGCTGCAAAGAATCAAGAGAGTTTGTTTTTGCATCCCACTACCCACGGGGTCCTCCTCGGGGGTCCCCAAGAAGAGAAGAGAAGAACAAATTCTACCTTGGCAGGTGGGCACTTGTCCGTTCCACTGCCCTGTGGGGCCACACCACAGCTTGGAGGGTCCCCGCAAGGTGTAACCGGGCTGGCAGGAAAACTCACAGCTGCTGCCACTTTGGAAACTTCCAGAAGCCCCTGGGAGACACCGCATGTGGCCTCGTTCTGGGCTGGACAGGGCTGGGCACTGCAGAGCTGAGACAGAAGATGGGAGAGTGGGGAGGGTTAGGAAACACGGAGGGGAAGGCGTGGGGTGGGGAAGGCGCTGGGCCATCTCTGAGCAGGGAACTGCATTCGTTTGGAGGTAGGTGAAGGCAGAGAATTGTTTGTGTTGGGGTTTCCGAGGGGGGGCGTCCAACCCCCTCCTTGGCTTCCAGGGGTCCCTATAGGCTCTATCCTTCCTTGGGAGAGAAAGGAAGGTCAAAGGGCAGAGCTTGGGGGCTGGAGCGATAGCACAGCAGGGAGGGCGTTTGCCTTGCACCCAGGTTTGATTCCCAGCATC